TTGTACCTCCTGTGAAGCAACTTGGGAATGTTTTATGATTAAGGATTCTATATAAATATAAACTGACCAGAGAACTTTATCATTGCACACTGTGTCTGTGACTTTCTTTCAAAATTCTGTGCAACTCAACACCAATTAGAAATTACGGTCTCTCCTGACATATGCAAAAGTCACACATGTTTGAGGAGAATTTGAACTTGCAAACAATAGAAGAATGTGTGTAATGCTTCTAAACTGTTGAGAATTGAATATAATCGGTCTGAAACTATACCGCTGGGATCATGATCTGAGAGCAATAACATTTAATGCTTTCCTTCATGCAGTTTTGAGTTTGCACTGCCTGCAGTATAACTGCAGCCTGAAGTAAAGTTTTTGTTTAAGGGTGCTTAGTTGGTTTGTCCTCGTGGGAATTTGTAAACCTGTACATAGAAGCAGTTCAGACATTCCTGCTCAACACTCTCGGAACACTGGCATCTTTGCACCTCAATGCAAGCCACATCTGCCCTCTTATTCTTCCAACCCTAAAGTTCACCTTTAACTCATGTGGACAGAGAAAACCGTCAATGCTCATGACATTTCCTTTTCATAGTTTATTGTAGGATCAAGAACTACACAATTGTCAGTACCCTGCTCTTTTTCTAAGTTGAATCACATGTATAACATTGCTCCATAATTTCCAAGCTGCATTCATGCTGTGAATCCTTAGATTGCTGCTTCTGAAAAGTGGTTGCTTTGGTTCCTGCTGTTCTCTTGACTAAGTTTTCCCATTTTAATTTATCGAATTCCTTACTAATCTTATTTTCTGAGAAACTCTATACTGTGCTGTGTTACAACTCCTGGCTGCTGCAGCTTGTAAGATTGTCTGATTGTACTGTTTCTGTTTTACGCTCCTACAAGTACAGTATCTCAAATCCAGCTGTCCAAAACCCGGAGTTGTCTAAATATCCAGACATATGTAACATGCGCCATGCATCAACTTTGATTGAGTAAAGTAAAAACAGCCTGTTTTCTCTCTCCACAGACGCTGCCAGACCTGCTGAGTTTGCTCTTAAAAGAACTTGTCTAGACAACTTGGCTAGATGCTACATTAGAGTTTCCTGTCTAGTTATCCACTTCCCTGCTTGTGTGGTGGTCTATTCCCAAAGCTACAAGCAACAGTGGACCTTTTCAAGAGGCTTAGCATGAACTGCCCACAGCTCAAATTATGGCAAGATCTAAAATTTGGCACAAACTTGGATCCTTTGTGGAAACAAAAATTGCTAGAGTATCTCAGCAGGTCTAGCAGTATCTGTAGAGAGAAAGCAGAGTTAA